ACTTTATTGTTTTAAGTATTACCAATTTCTGATTGCTTCGCCAACACATGGAAGTTTCTCGGCTGATACGCCCCTGGGGGAGGAGCTGCCTCTGGGCCACACACTCTTTGATCTTTCTTTTCTCAGCTGTCTAAGCCAGCTCCATCTGTTAGCAACTGAAGTAAGTGTGTGACAGAATGAATCTCTTATCATAGCAGGATGGGAATATCAAACACACAGAGTGCAAAGAACTATTCATTTTGCTCTACCAGTTGCTGTGGATAAAACACCCTCTCAGATTAGCAGGTACAAAATCAAGTTTTATCCAGCTACCTGGCTGTAGAAATGCACACTATCTGGGAGAAATCCAATCTGAGCCCATAAACAAAGGGCAGATAAGCACATAAACAGCTGCACATTTCAATTCCCAGAAGCCTCTTCAAGGATAAAGATCTAGTTTTATAACTTATTTTAAGCAGGGTCATGCAATATTTATGGCTGGAATGATTTCTATTAGAACAACAAGGCCAATTAATGGCTCCATATTACTGTCTTTTCCACCAATAATTATTTCTTTGATTCAACAACTGTTGGAAGCAATGTATCTGCTTATAATTATAACAACTACCATTCAATAAGTGCCTAGTATAAGCTAGCCACAATCACATAGTTTAAAAAAATTTTAAGGGGTGGGAGTAGCTGAGGAGAGGTTCAATGAGGGTGGGGGGGAGGAGACATATATAATACTTTAAACAATAAAGAAAAAATATTTTTAAATTTTAGAGTAATTTTAAAAAATATATATTTTATTGATTTTTTACAGAGAGGAAGGGAGAGGGGTAGAGAGTTAGAAACATTTGTAAGAGAGAAACATCCATCAGCTGCCTCTTGCACACCCCCTACTATTAACTAAACTATAAGACTATTTTGATTTCTTTGTACTTCCAAGAAGGTTTTTCATTTCCTTCGGTTGCAGGATCCAAATTAGGATCCTGAATTGCATTTATCATGTCTCCTTAGTGTCCTTCAATCTCTAACAAATCCAGTCTTTCTCTCTCATGACCTTCGCACTTTTGAAGAGTACTTGTCAGTTATATTGTAGAATGTCCCTTAACTTGAATTGTCTGATGTTTTTCACATGATTAGACTAAGTTATAGATTTGGGGGAAGAATATCACAGAGGTAATGTGCCCTTCTCATGAAATCATATCTGAAGGTACATGATATTGATGTGTTTTATTACAGGTGACTCAACCTGGATTACTTGGCTAAGGTGTTTCATCTATCAGGTTTCTCCAAAGTAAAGTTACCATTTTTTTCCCCTTTCCATTTTACGGCTGAGGAAATGTGAGATATCTGCTGTTATTTCACAGTTAAGTCACGGAAAACTCGATGAGTTTTAGAGATTAGCTCTTTAACAAATGAGGAAACCAAGGCCTAGAGAGATGAAAGGACATGGCAAAGATCACTCAAGCAGGTTCATCGCAGAACCAAACTGGACCCCAGGTCTCTTGATTTCCAGTGAAGGGGTAAATGCATGATGAAGACTTCAGTAACATGAAATAGGATCTTTGCATGTAAACAGTCAGCGCTTCCCTTCCCCTCACTCTGATTGGAGAGAAAACTAATACCATCAGCCCTGCTGGAGATGACTGTCAGGACGCAGCTGCCTCATTCTGGCAGGCCTTGCTGTGGCTCTGCAGGCTTTACCACGGCTGGTCATAGGACAGGCAGATCTGGTATCAGAGGCCAGCGTCTCCTTTAATTCTCCTAGAATGCTAGTTATATGGCCTCATGGACTGTGGAGCTGCTGTTGGCTATTTCCTGGGCTGAGAAATTTAGTCTAGAGCAGCGGTCGCCAACTGGTGGTCCACGGACCACTGGTGGCCCATGAGGTCCGAAAGGTTGGTGACTGCTGGTCTAGAGTGCCCCCGTTGGACTTATGCAGGACGTTCCAAGGGTTCGGTAGATGGAAATCTTAAAAGCAGAGTGAAATGCCTGATAGTGTGATAGGAATTCCATTACTAAGAAGGCTTTTAGGTAGGATGGTCAATTATAAGCTAAAAACCATTCAGCTCCAGATAATTATGTGTTTTGACTGTGTTTCTGCTATCATTATAATACCCTGTTACTGAAAGAGATGGGGGAAAAAGGAATTCTGCACAGAGACCAAACTCCAGAACTGCAGTCTCCCCTCCAGCTTTAGTGATCTGATTGGCGAGTTTTAGTTAATCAGGATACGAGGATCAGGGCAACTGTAAGGCGAGCCCATGGGGACAAGCTGTGCTCTCTGCTCTAGAGAACCTTTAGGCGAATGCTGCATCTGGGGTTGGCCCTGGCCATGCTGACACCTGGGGCCATGACCATGGAGTTTACTTAGTTCTGAAGTGAGCTGTAGCCCAGAACAGAATTAATCCTGTGGGTCTATTTGAAATGGAAGCAGCCTCTTTGGGCAGGCAATGTCTCAGTACCTAGTCTAAGTGGAACCTACATGCTGGTTTCACTTCTATCAGGAACTGACCACCCCAGGTCCACCAGAGCCAGGGTCTGCAGGATGACCTAGACCTGGGGCAAGAAGGAAGGTGACCAAACTGGCCTTCCAAATGTATGAAGAACTTTCCCTGGCCACTATCCAGGGTTTCTTCCCTAAATAAATGCCCACCATAAACATGTGTTCTTTTCTAGTCTATTTCTTAGTGTAAATACCCTTCTGAAGACTCCCCGGTCAGCTCCTGTGGTCAGACATCTCTCTAGTGCAGCAGCATGTAGTGATACCACAGTGCAGGTGGGTCGGGGCAGGAGCTATGGCCTGGTGCTCAGAGGATGGTATCCCGTGAGGTAGAGGATCTGGCTTGGCTCAGCATTCTCAGGTGAGGAACAGTTGAACTGATGAAGATTATGAAGCAGTCTGCAGCATCAGAGATAAAGGTATTTTCTTGTACTGGGGTTCACAATTAACTCAATTTTTTCATCCTATTCACATGCCGTAGCTTATGAGCCTTAAACCAAACATTTAAAAGATACAAGATATAGAGAATTGCCCAGCACCATTGCTTTAAAACTTCTTGTTTTAAAGTAGTTTAAAACTTATAGGAAAGTTGAAAATAGAGTCTAGAGGGTTCCTGTACACCCTTCACCCAGATTCTTCAATTGTAATATTTTAACCATTTTGCCTATTTTCTCTCTTTGTCTCTGTCTCTGGCTCATATATACATAAATTTTTTCTGAGCCACTTGGGAGTAAGTTAGAGATATAATGGCCTTTAATCCATAATACTTTGGTACATATTTCCTAAAAACAGGAAAATTCTTCTATATAATCATAGTGCACCCTTAAAATTAGGAAAATTACCATGTAATCACAAGATCCCATTCAAATTTTGTGAACTGTCCCAATAATGTCTTCTGTAGGTCCAGAAACCAACCTAGGATCACACATTTGTTGTGATGCCTCTTTAGACCCTCTTCCATCTGCAACAGTTCCTCAGGCCAGTTTTTGTGGCCTTCACATTCTTCAATTTTGGTTTGTTTATTGTAAGTTTTACTTAAAGGAAACCATTAAGTAAACATTTAATAAAAACATTGTAATATATATATATATATATAATTATTTTAATAGTTGCATATCTAGTGTATGAAAGGGTTATATTTAACCAATCCTGTGTTATAGGACATTTACCTTGTTTCTAGTTTTCCACAGTATAAACCACATTACAATTAGTAGTTCTGAGCAATGTATGGGTTTTATGGGTGGAATTACTGGGTTAGAATATGCAAATTTAAAATTTTGGTACAATTGCCAGATTGCCATGCTGAAAGATTATACTTACTTAAAATTCCACCAATGATTCACAAGAATGCCTATGCCCCACATATTAGCACTGGCCATTTTTACTTTTAATCTTGGCTAACCAGACCAAAGAAATCATTTATTTGATTATTAATGAGGCTGAACATCTTTCATGCTGTTTAAATTTCTTTTGTGAATTGCTTTTGCCCATATTTTTATTGGAAAGTTTCTGTTTTGTTTTTTCCTTTATTTAATTTTTTCCCATCACCACTTATCTCCCCTATACCCTCACCCACCTTGCTCCTTCCTTTACCCCCAAACAGTTTCTGTTTTAAAGTGATTTGTCAACTCATTACTTGGCATTTAAGTCTTGAGGGAAAGACACATTATGCATCCACTTTAGAGCTTTGTTTGAAGCTCTGTTGAAATGGTTCTAGTTTCTTACATAAAACCAATTTCCTGAGAAAACACATGAAGATCTAGAAGGTAATAGAACAGCTGTTGGCCAGCTCAGCCCCACATAGCTCTCTGGTACATACCTTCAGAAATAGGAGGTGGGTAAAATGTGAGAAACAATAAAAGCAGAAAATGATGAAAAACACACAGGCTACATTTCTCTCCACTCAATGTCTCTGGTTAAGTGTTTCAGTATAGTTCTGGGTCAAGACAGAGTAGTTCCTCACTAACTTACTCTGGTAGTTCTTGTTTCTTTCTTTCCTCCAAAAAGATTTTAAATGGAAGGACAGATATACAATAGATGTTGATCTGAATGTAGGTCTTAGTTATTTAGGTTTAAATGCTATTAAAACCCATCATTTATATTAGGTAAGAGCACCTAGTTTTCAGGCAAGGGGAATTTGAAGCTGGGAAATAAAACTTAAGCTAATGCTGGCTTCTTCCTTTCTCCTTAATTGCAAAACTTACAGAAATAGGAGCAAAAAATCTGCATATATCTATGTAAGCTTATATATGGTGCAAAACTCAAATCGCAACTGGTACAATGAAATATGTCCACAAGGAAGTGCATAATGTTTACTACTTCTAAAGAGAAGAGTCCTTTGTCAGAAAAGTAAATCAGAAACAAATATTTTCAATTCTCACATTTTAATCAATCAAATTCACCAGTTAACCAGTTACAGTCAATACCTACTGAAAGCCAAGTGTAATGGTACTCTGGCAGATACAAGAGAAATATACCATGCTCTTGAGGGACATGCTATCTAGCAGGGGAAAAGGCAGACAAATCTGAAACATTAGGGGACAATCCCTGAGAATGCCAAGGTAGAGCACATACTGTAATTGGAGCAGGATTTCAGAGAAGGGGAAGTCACTACGCATGGGGAGTGGGGGTGTCTGGCGTAGTTAGAGAGGCTTAGTGAAAAAGCAGGATTTGAGTTGGGCCTGGACAGGTGGTCAGATGGTGAGATATGCATAGGCAGAGGGAAGGGGGTGGAGATGGGGACCCAGGGAACAGAAGGCATAGAAGTGACAGGTGACAAATCGCTGAGTGAGGAGGAGTGCTGAAGACGTGAGGCTGCCCCAACAGATGCTGTGCAGGCAGCTGGAAGTCACTGAGGTCTCCAGAGCAGGGAGCACCCTGACGGACAGGTAGGCTGTAATGTTCTATCCCACATCAAGCTGTTCTAGAGCCAGAAGCAAAAGGAGAACTCAGTAATACTGATTCTATCCTACCTGTATTTAAAATGTTGATATTTGGTTAATTATGGATTTTTTGCATTAATTTTGAGTTTTAAAATGTTGCATTTAAATATGATTTATTTTGATTACTATGTTTTTTTTTGTGTCACACATTTCTTTGTGCCCAAGGTAAGTGCCTCACTGGCTTTACCCTGGTCAAAGCCATGTGTTCTATTTGTAAAGTTCAGTGATGGGGACATGGGTATTTACTTTATTATTATTATTATTAATTATAGCTTATTCATGCTGCAAATATTCTTTTGCTTAGTAGACAGTATTTAATAAAAACAATTAAGATAAATTAAAATTTTGAGATTAATTTGGAACTTTGGTGCCCGAAAAGCATGACTGAGAAAAGAACCCTTTGTACTCCTGAGTCAATCTCTAGAGAGAATTACTCCCTGTTGCTATAGTACATGCAGTGCAGGCAGAAAAGGGTTGTTTTGCCCGCCTCTAAGGGGTTGAAAGATACTGTGGGGGATCCTGGAGGCTACTGTTCATTGGAGATAGGCCTCAAGCAACTCAGCTGCTCTAGCCAGAGTGACTGTGCTGCATGGCTAGAGACCAGCAGCCATGAATGGGCCACACTCACATGGAACAAACCCCTCCTGCCATGCTCAAGGAGAAGCCACTCACTGGGCACAGTGCTGACAACAGGGCCACAGCCTAAGAAGCAGTGAAAGGTACATGAACTCTATAAACGTCTCAGGGCTCCTTGCATCTAGGAGAAGAGGGGGTATTTTGACACAAGGAGTATTAATAATACGTCTAAAAATGTAAAACCTGAAATCTATTGTTCAGTAGTAAACTGATGACTAATGAAGGATTTTTTTGAGCCAATTAATGGGTAGCACAAATCTCAAAAAAGGCCAAGGGAGAGGCTGAAGGGTGCAGGCTGCTCCCTGTACTCGTCACCAGGTGCACTTCTCTGTCACTTAATGTGGACCTCCCAGTCAGTGCCAATGTTCAGCGAGAGGTTCTCCAGGCTCAGGGTGGATGTTCCGGCACAATACGTAAAAGCCACAGGCTGATCTTTACCATCTGAATATCAAGACAATAAAAGGGAAAGTTTGATGAACATCTAGGAGAGAAAATTTCTTTCCTTGTATCTGAAATCTTTCTGACTTTGTCATAAAACTTTATTCCCTGCTTAGGAGAATTTTACCTACAATTTTTACCCATGGACTTTTAAATATGAAACACTCCCATGGTTTGAATGCAAGATCAGTTGAAAATAAACTATAAGGAAAAAAGTGGTTTGTCTAGGAAATTCAGTATGTTAGAAAGGATGTATCTCAACCTATGCCCTTTAAGAAACTCCATAAACACAAGTAGGGCTTCAGATATCTACAGTTTAACAAAAATAGTCAGAGAAGCCACACTATTATTTCAAGCCCAAGTTAATTTCCCTTAGAAAAATATCAACAGCTTACAGTGCACAGAAAGACCAGCTGATGAAGAGAGGCAGGCTGGCCTTGCTCCCTCTGGATAGCGGTATATTGGACCTCTACCAGGAAGTGTAGAGTCCACTTGGCTAAGACATGTCAGTTTTAGGGCTAATCACCTCTTCACCTTAGATATTTCTATGTTTACAAAAATAAATGGTTTGTTTCCTCACCAGATGAGTGGGTGGTCACAGAAGATGGCTGCTTCTTGAGGCCTAGGACAAAGATCTGCTCCACCTCACACTTGCTGGTATAATGACCCCTCTCATCAGCACAACTGAAATAAATATACATAGCATTAGGAAAAGAAGGGAAAGTGGGGTTTGGACTGGTTACTAGGCCCAACATCCCCAGACTTTTAGTTACCCTTCCTCCTTTTCCTATGGAAGCCTGAACCATAAAGTTATCATATTTACTAGGAAGAGAGGATGGGAACAGGTGACTCTACATGCCGAGGGCTAAGTAACCAGTAGCTAAACCAATGTCTCTTTTTAAAGAAGTCATTTGGAGAGAAATCAGCTAAGGACACTGAAGTCATAAATGTGACTTGGATACAGCAATCAAATAGTAAGAAATCAAATACTTGTTGAATGGTTGAATAAGTGGGACTAATGGGAACTTAAATATAATTTTTTTCCTTAAGAGAGGGAAGGAAAGAAAGATGGAGGTAATAAGGAAGAGAGGTGCATGGAGTGATTGAAAAAAATTATCCAGGGACTCCGGATCAAGATGGTGATATAAAAGGCTCCTGAATTTCCCTCCTCCCATAGATGAACCAAATGTAAAGCTATACATGGAGCAAGTCCCTTTGATAAATATCCAGAAACTAGCTGACTGACTCCTACACATACAGTGACTGAAAAAATACCCACATCAAAACAGGTAGGAATGGCTGAGACACACTCTCTCCATAACCCCCAACCCCAGCACAGTGCCATACAATTGGGAGAGAACCCCAACTCCCAACTTCTCCCTGAGGAAGGAAGGATCTGGACCATACTTCTAGACCCAACTTTTAAGTCCCCCACCTGAGGATTAGGCCCCCAAATCACCTAACTCTGATAGCCAACAGTGTTTATGTTCACAAGTTCTACAGGGTTATATCAAACAAAGAGTCAGTTGTTAATGGGTGTGCTGTGGCTATACCCTCAGGACTAAGCACAGAGGGAGCAGCAAAAACACCCATTTCCCAATCTCTTCCCGGAAGAGGTATGACTACAAACTTTTTACTACTGCCTGGGGGTCCAGCTTCTAATCAGCCTGCATCTAAGTGCTGACTGCACTCCCCGCTTTGGGTCACTGATGGGTCTTGGTACATCCTCAACTACTGGCATCCACTAAGAGCAAAGATGGCCTCTTGGATAATCACAAAACCTTGAAAAGCAACCAGGAGCTCAGGCTGGGCTGATTGATGAAATTCATCTCCTACACAAAACCAATCTATTAGAACTGAAAGAGGTAGATGTTTTATCTAATGTGCAAAAACCAACACAGAGAATCAAGGAATATGAAGAAACAAGGGAGTATCTTCCAAACAAAAGAACATGATTAGTCTACAGAAACTGACCTTAATGAAATAGAGATGTTATTTACATGATAGAGAGTTCAAAATAATGGTCATAAAAATACCGTCTGATTGCAAACTATATTACAAAGCTATAGTCATCAAAACAGTATGGTATT